AAAACTATTTATGTTTGGAAGTGATATGATCTTGCATATAGAATATCTTAAGGAATCTTGTGGATTCAATTCAAATAATAAACATGTTCAGCAAAGTTGTAGGATATAAGATCAACATACAAATATCAAATCTGCATACCATCAATGAACAACCTGAAAATGAAATTAAGAAAACAAAACCATTCAGAATACCCTCAGCAACATACAATATGTAGAAATAAATTAAGTGTAAGACTTGTACACTAAAAACTGTAAAACATTGTTGAAAGTAAAGATGATCTAAGTAAACAGAAAGATATCTTATGTTCAGAAATTGAAAAACTTAATATCGTTAACAGATATTCAACCTAGTCTGCTTGACAGAAGTTCAGCATTTAAAACACAAAATATACACCATTTTGAAAATGAATTAATGCTAAAAATTTGATTAGGCAAAAATAAACCAAGAAAAGCTGAAAGACACAAATCTAATAGCTAACAAAATAGAATTCAAGGAAAAAAATGGGAAGGAATGAAGATAGACCTTATGTATTGGTGAAGGCAACTATTGCTTCCAACAAATAATACAGGTTTAAAATATGTAACACAACAATTGACTAAATTCTGGAGAGTAATACAATTAGGTCTAAATCGAGACTGTTACTAGCAAACCCACATGTGTGCTATGGGCACCCTAAATTCACTTTCTGCTGCTAAACTGATTGTCAGACCAGGTTTTAAAAATTTGCTTGAAAAATACTGAGTACTTAGCAATGGTATCTATGATAGCTAGGCTAGTCCCTTGAGAATTTAGATTAACATGAATTTTACATACTGATTATAGTGTTACAATTTATTAAAGAGTGACTCTAATGATTAAAAATAAATGATAAATATCATCCATTCTCTGATAACATATGCATCTTTTCACTTAAAATTCATATTCTTCAGTGTTAAATTACAGCTTCATTTGATCTAACTTTAGTAATACTTAAAAGCATCAATAATAAACAGTGGGAACTTCAATCTTTTCTGTTTATCTGAAAGAGGTCTTTATTATTATAATTACTACTAACAAAAGATGTAATCTTAAAATTAACTACACAGTTTTCTATTTTTTTAAAAAAAGATAAAGGCATTATGAATTTCCTAAATGTTAAAGTATCATGACAGTACATCTGAATGTTAGAAGAGGAACATATTCTAAAGTTGATGAGTAAGACAAAATAGAATATCATCACAGTTCTTCTTAACCCTTAAAAGGAAAATATAAATTTGGAAACTCAAAAATCAAGGAGCTTTCTGTTTTTGTCTTTGAATTTCTGCCATGGTCTCTGAATTTGTATTCTTTTTATTTTTTTAAAGGCCTGTTCACAGGACAGCATATGAACACAAAACTGTGGTGAAGATGCTGAAAACAATTCCAGAGTTAACCTCTCAGCTAAGCGATGAGCATCTGAAAACACTTAGTAAGAATGTCATTTCTGAAACCTGGGTGAAAGGCAGCACAGGTAATGACTAATGTGGAGAGAAATTTGGCAAGATAAAATG